TGCATGTGTCTTCTTTACAAAATGACTTCTTTTCCTTTGGACAGATCTCCAGTAGTGGGATTGCTGGGTCAAATGGTAGATGTACTTTTAATTCTCTGAGAAATCGCCCTCCTATTTTCCGTAGAGGTTGTACTAATTTACGTTCCTACCGACAATGTATAAGCATTCCCTTTCATCACATCTGTTGTTTTGTGGCTTTTTAATGATGGCCATTCTGACTGGGGTAAGGTAATATCTCATTGTGTTTTTAATTTGCAATTCCCTGATGATTTGTGATGTCGAGCATTTTTTCATGTGTGTGTTGGCCCTTTGTATATCTTCTGAAAAATGTTCATGTCTTTTGCCCAATTTCCAGTGGGGTTATTTGTTTTTTTCTTGCTGATTTGAGTTCCTTATAGATCCTGGATATTAGTCCTTTGTTGAATATATGGTTTGTGAATATTTTCTTTCATTCTGAAGGTTGTCTGTTTACTCTATTGATTAGTTCTTTTGCTGTGCAGAAATCTTTTAGTTTAAGTCTTTTTATTTGTTTTTGTTTTTATTGTATTTCCTTTTGAGGTCTTATTCATAAATTCTTTGCCTATACCAATATCCAGAAGAGTTTTTCCTAAGTCTTTTTCTAGAAGTTTTATGGCATCAGGTCTCACATTTAAGCCTTTAAACCATCTCACATTAATTGGTGTATCTGCTGATAGGTAGGGATCCAGTTTCATTCTTCTTCATGGGGCTTTCTAATTTTCCCGCAGCATTTATTGAATGGGGGCGTGGGTCCTTCTCTCCAGTATATGTCTTTGTCTGCTTTGTCAAAGATCAGCTGGTTGCTCTTTTTCATTGGAATCTGTTACTGGAAAATTATTGTGTTTCTTTGGAGGTGTCCTGTTTCTTGTGTCTTTACAATGATATTCGTGTATCTCATGTAACAGTTGCTTATTCTGTTTTTTGAATGTGTTTTTGATACATTTTCCTGATGTATCTATGATGTTCCTTGGGTAGGGCACTTCAGTTTTGATTCTGGATGCCTGCAGTAGTGTAGTTTCCATGTGATTTCTTTAGCTGTAATCAGTGTAGTTGGTGTTTATGATTTCCTCAGTGGCTTAGTGGAGTTTGTGGTGAAGTTTTGCTGGGGATGGGGACTCCAGGTAGGCCAGTTTTTGGGCCCCAGTGGTGGCAGCAGTACGCTGAGCATGCCTGTCCTTTGGCCCCAGGGTATACTGGCATAAGTGTTAGTAGGTCCAGGCAGGCCCATTCTTGGACTTCTAGGTGGCTTCCTAGGGTGCAAGCAGTAGCAACAGTGGGACAGGTGAGTGGGTCCTCAGACCCCTGGGCAGCAGGCATGGTGTGGGCAATGGTAGTAGCAGCAGTGGAACAATCCTCTGGCTCCCATGTGGTCTACACTGATGTTGGACAGGCCAGACCCCAGGCCTGTAGGTGGCACATGTGGGTGGGTGCCAGCAAGTTGAGTGGGCTTGTCCGCAGGCACTGGGAAGAATGCTCAGGTGTCAATAGTGGTGGATGGGGCAGGGTGATCCCCAGGTCTCTGGGAAGTGTGGTCAGGGACTGAGGGTGGTGGAGCTGGGCTGAGCGGTCCTGTCCTTAGGCGCCTTGCTGGTGTGTATGGACACTGGCCATGGTTGGCAGAGGAGGGGTGGTCTCAAAGCCCCTGGCAGAATGGTTGGGGCTGAGGGCAGTAGCAGTTGCTCTGTGACCCTGCTGCTGGGGAGGGAGTGATTTCTTTTAGTGATAGCAACCATGAACAGGTGACTGGGGAGGGTGTGCTTTGGCCCCAGGTTTTGGCTGCAAGCAGGGTAGCTTGTCTTCAGTGCACTGTTAAATTTGTCATGGCCTTACTAGGGGTCACTGGGTCATTGCCAATGGCTTTGCAGTTTGGCCCTGGAGACAGCAGCCAGCAGAGAGGCCAGCTGTGCATGGGGAATGTCACAGGAGCTCTATGGATGTGGTGATAGAGGGGCTGTTGGGCCCCAGGGCAGGGTGCTGTCTGGTGGGGGCTGGCTTCTCAAAATGCCCCCCTGCTGTAGCTGTTTATGACTCCGAGGAGGACGTATGGGATGAAGTGTGAGCCCCCTCTGGAGCAGTGCTGTCATATGGTCTCCAGGAAGCTCCCTGTGTTAGTCCCAGGGCCTGCATGGGTCGAGGGGCTCTCCCTTGGCTAGGGGTGCAGGAGTCTGTGGTGGGAATGTGAACCACCAGGGGTCACTCACTCACCCTTGTCCCACAGTAGAGAAACTGGGGTCCCAGATGATCCTGGCCGAGCAGGCTGCCTCGCTTCCCTCTCCTTCCTTCCCTTAGGTCTTCCCTTTCACTTCTCTTTTGAATTCTAGTGTTCTCTCGTCCTTAGGTGAGGTTTGACCTGTGATTATCTACTTGTTATTTTGGTTCTTCTTTGTAGAGGAAGTGAGTTTGGGTGCCTCTCCTCAGCCATTTGAATCCTCCCCCTCCAACTTTTTTCTTGCATTTTTAATACATTCGAAGGTGATGATGAGGCCTTCTTGGCCTAGGAACACACTTTGTGAACCACTTTGTGACTAGATTTGGGGAGACCAGTTAGAAATCTTTTGCACTGATGCATTCAGGATATAATGTAGAAGTACATGTTGACAACTGAGTTAAGGAGGAGGGTTGGCTTCCAAAGATTCGGAGGGTCTGTACTTGACAGAGCCTGATACCATAGCAGCGTGTGCAGGTGAATGGGAGGGAGGAGTGTAGACTGATTTCTAGATTTCTAACTATGGTTGGTAGATGGGAAATTGAGGTATCATTATCTTAACATGTGGAATAAAAGAGGAGAAGCTGGCTGGAGATTTTGGTCTGGAACTGATATAAGTTTGGTTTTTGACATGTCGAGTAGAGATCTCTGTGGGCCATTTAAGTGGAGATAACTTTTAGGAAAGTAGGAGACTGCCAAGTTGAAGATGCAAGCATGTATGTCTGTACAGGAGATACTATAGGTCATAACGGGAAGAGACTAAGGTGCAGAGAACAGAATTCCAGGATATGCAGCTATTTAAGCTGAAATCACAATGATTCACCTTCAAAAGGACCAAGAAGAACTGGTAGGAGCCCTGGGGTAGAGACTTTCTATAAGGTGTGATCAACATGTCAACACTAGGGAGGTCCAATGATGTGTGAATTCAAACACGCCCATTGCACTGCAGAACCAGAAGATGATAGGAAACCTTAGCAAAAGCAGTTTTATCAAGCAGCATGGGCCCAGATTGCATTGATCTGAGGTTAGAAATGGTTTTCAGGACAGAGTACACACCTTCTGCTTCTCTTATATTAAATTTCTGTTTTTCAGCTCTGAAGAGGGCAATACTATTGACATAAATACTTTGCTGTACTAGTGGATTAATATTCAAGTTTTAACCTAGTTTTTCTAGGTGAAATTTAATACGATATTGAAAGAGCAAATTTAGAATCAAATGTTGTTGTTTCTTCCTTTGAGAAAGCAGTGCTTCTTGAGGTATTGTCCCTTACCACGGAGGCTTTCAGAAATGATCAGGGAGGTTTTTAGAAATGATCAGGGAGCTTTGTGTGGTTGGTCCTTCTGAAAGTGTTTTGTTTTATTCTCCATCCCAATCCCTACTGGGGAACCAAGAACGCTGTTATTGCTGTTAGGAATATTGTTTTACTCTGTGACTTTGTGTGACAGCTGGGTATGATTATTTTATTAGTTTCATGATTGACCCAATTTAAACCAAAAAGGAAGACAAGGTCAACAAATGTGATAGCTGTTAAAGCAGCTGTCACTTCTGGTAATTTGACCATAACCATTTTTCTTTCCTTTTCCTCCAGTGTTTTTCTAAGCAGATTTAAAACAAAACACTGAGAGTAAATAGAAATTGCTGCCCCTCACATCATCAGGAACCGGGATAAGAGATTCATTAGCAGGATTTCTTGGTGGTGCGTTATTATCTGGAAAACATGGTTAAAACACTCCTGTTCTGTAACAGTCCGCCCACCTCTGTTTTAGGAAACCTCGCCATGGGATTGTGTGCACTAACTTTTCAAAACTCACTGGGCATCCAGACTTGAGATTGACCTGATGCAGTCCTTTCAATTCGATGCTTGTATCCCTCTATTAACTAGTTGGAAAGTTCTCTACAAAATGTGGGTCAAATACAGAATTACAGGAACTGCCAGTAAAATAGCTTTCTAAATGACCCCAATACAAGCATATTTTCTATTTTGTGGTATTAATACAACTGATCTGATCTAACAGATTCTCTGTGTGTACTTTCATTTTGCCCTTCAGTTGTTGACCTGTGTTTTAAGGATCCATGTTAAAAAAGAAACACTTCCCATATCGGAGGCTGCAAATGATCACAAGTAATTGTTATTTTACAGAGATCGGACTTATTTCCTACACTATTAGAAACTTGTTGATAGATCATGCTCTTAAAAGACTGATAAAGAATGTGTCTTTGAGGCTGATGGTGAATACTGGGGGGAAATTGTCAATTTTGGAGATTTATGATATTAAACCCAAAAGCTCTCTTCAAACATTAAAAAAAAAAAGATTTTAGGCTGGGCGTGGTGGCTCACGCCTGTAATCCTAGCACTCTGGGAGGCCGAGGCGGGCGGATTGTTTGAGCTCAGGAGTTCGAGACCAGCCTGCTAAAAAAATAGAAAGAAATTATCTGGACAATTAAAAAATATGTAGAAAAAATTAGCTGGGCATGGTGGCACATGCCTGTAATCCCAGCTACTCGGGAGGCTGAGGCAAGAGGATCGCTTGAGCCCAGGAGTCTGAGGTTGCTGTGAGCTAGGCTAATGCCACGGTACTCACTGTAGCCAGGACAACAGAGTGAAACTCTGTCTCAAAAAAAAAAAAAAAAAAAAAAGAGATTTTGAATACTTTAAGTAATGACACAAGGTGTTTTTTTTTAATTTGTTCTTCATTTAGGATTTTTAAAACTATGTTATTAAGCATATTGGAATTTAAATTAATGTTTTCCTTTTTTCCTTTCTTTCTTGATTAGGTTGTCAAGTTATTAAGCAACAAAAGATCACAAGCAGTTGGAATATTAATGTCTAGTCTTCATTTAGACATGAAAGACATACAACATGGTAAGTGTAAAAATAAGAATTCACCTATTTAATATTAAAATTTAAGCTGAAAGATATGATGTTTGGTAAAACTATTTCAAATTTAGAGTTTCTGTATGTATTGAGATTAGTATATTTCCTGTAAGTGCTAACAAACTTTCTCCCATGATTGTTTCAGAAAGGGTTACTGTTAATTTGGCTATTCTATCATTTCTATAACGTGCTAAGAGCCTAATTGTCATGTGACATTATCTTAGTTTAGGCTGCTATAACAAAGTACCCTAGACTGGATGGCTTATCAACAGCAGAAATTTATTTCTCATAGTTCTGGAGGCTGGAAGTCCGAGATCAGGGTGCCAGCATGTTTGGGTTGTGGTGAGGGCCCTCTTCCAGGTTGTAGGCTGCCATCTTCTCCTTGCATGCTTGTGTAGCAGAACAAAGGCAGGAGAACTCTCTTGGGTCTCTTTTATAAAGGCACTAATCTCATTCATGAGAATTCCATCCCCATGATCTAATAACCTCCCCAAGATCCTACCCCCTAATGCCATCATACTGGGGGTTAGGATTGTAACATATGAATTATGGGAAAGACACAAACATTCAGTCCAATGCAGATCTATTTAGTCTGTATTAATAAATATGTAGTTTTTATATCATAGGAAGTACTATTCCCACTTTTCTCTGTAACTACTTAGACCATATCTGAAGCATATACTTCTGGATGCTACATGCAGGAGTTATTGATAAACACTAGTGTGAGCCAGAGAGTGGGACATTTCAGACATGGAAAATACCTGGAGAAGATAGTTCTCAGGAGAAAAACATAACTCAAGGTTCTAAGCCTTGAGTCTGAAGTGTTTGATAAGCTAACATAAAGGAGAAGTACTAAACCTAAAGTTCTCTATCAGATCAGCCTCAACCAGCCTGAGAGTTACAGGAAAGCATGTTTCAGTTGTTTAAAGAATGTTCTCATGATTAGAGATGTCAAATAGTAAACTAGATTGCCATGTTTAGTGACAAAATAAAAACAAAACTGTTCAGGAGGCTGAATAACTGTGTTTTTAACTTTATAAGTATAGTTTTAGTTTCTTTTAAAAACACATATTATATAAAATTTCAAACATATGAAATTAAAGAGTTTAATGAGCCCTCATGTACTCTTTATCCATTTTCAAAAGTTGTCAACATTTTGCCAATGTTATTAACAGCTATCTTCTTTACTTTTTTTTTGTTTAAGTACTTTAAAACAAATCCCTGATATCTTGTCATTTCAACCATAAATACTCTATTAGTTTTATTTCACTTCTAACATGGAGAAGGTGATTGAGGCTGAATTACTGCTTCCAATGTCTTTAGAGCACTGGATGGGACATGGGCTGTGCTCTTAGTTCCCTGTTCTCAGATACCGTGAGATACCAAAAGATTCCCTAAAGCAGATTCATCATATGTAACCTTCTAGGGTGAAAAACTGGTCCCCCTTATCCTGGTTATTTGGGACAACTATAGTGTAAACCCCTGGGCCTTTCTACACATAGAGGGATCGAATTGTGTTTTCTTATAGCCACATTTCAAATTATTCCTTCCCACTGGTGTTGTTGATAGTGGCGTGGCACAGGGAAGCAATGATAATCATGACCTTTGTGTTGTGGGCTTAACTTACATCTTTAACCAGGCTTATAGAATATTTTTTGTGTTTGGAATTAGGGTGATTTTTAACATTTTCTAAATGGCTTTCAAATCAGTATTTTAACACTTGAATTTTACCCTACAATTGACAGGCATTACCATGCCATAGCCTCCTACCACATTTATGCTGAGAGATATTGCCCAAAGGTGAATAGAGAAATTAAATTTATATTCAAAATGTCTCTTAAGCTGCCCAGAACCTTAGAATAGATTTAAGGAAGATTGAATTATACAGTGGAATGCCAGTTTACCTATTAAAGAAATATGGTTCAAGTATAACACAGACCTTATAAATCATGAAGGCATTTAACTTGGCTTTCTCTTGCTCACCCCTTCGTGAATGTGGATTCTATTTGTTAGGCTTAAAATATTGTGTGGAATAATTCATAAATAGCACAAGCTTGGAATGCCCTGTCAATTGATGAGTAACTCTTAATCACAATTTCAGTTTTTATTAAATTGTTTTGCTGGTGAGGAGACTTCCTCAAGCCGAAACATTTGGGGTGGTAGTCATAGAAGAGAACGCCAAGGCTGGCGCCAAGGAGGACTGGGTATTTCTAAAGCTGGCAGATGTAGCCCCGTTAAGTCATAGAGTGAAATCTGAAAATAATGATATGGTCCTTTCCTTCAGTCAAATATTCAGCTCCGGTTGAGTTAATAATGAGAACCTTATGAACAGAGGAGTCCGCCTGACATCTGCATCTGTGGTAAAGCCAGTGAGAGTTCATTGAAAATTTGCTCGCTTAACATGCAACGCTAACAATAACATGGCGTGAACGTCAGTCGTTGAAGGGTCATACAGAATTATGCATAAACTTTATCCTATTAGGACGTGAAGGGATTGCTTGAGTCTCTTTGAAACCCTGCACATGGTCTTCTAAAAAAAAAAAAAAAAGGCCACCTTCCAAGAAGCAAGCAGTTGTGCCTTTCTGGGGATAAAATCCTGTTCTGCCTCTGTGTTGTCTGGAACTGTGATTTACATGTGTGAATCACTTGCGGCCTCTAGAATAAACTTGCCTTCTCTGGGGATATGCCTCCACTGAGGAATCCACAGAAGCATAAACATCATTGATTTTAGATAGAGAAGTGGCCACAGAATTTATCCAGACCTCCAGCATCATTTTGTACGAGAGCAAACTAGGTACTGTTAGCGGTCCGGCTTCTTTCTCAGCCTCGCGCAGCTCGTTAATGGAACACACTGAACTTGCACCCAGGCCTCTTCACTTAGCAGTCTTGATTGTTTTCATTTTCATTCAGATGCGCTGCTTCTCTCAGACTGTGCTTTTCCTACAACTGGCATTGGCTTCTCTAAAGCAGAGTATATGGAATATTGTTATGAACAGCCGGAATCGTTTTCTCTCCTTCTCAACTTTCCTCTAGAGTTGAATTTACTTTGTAATGTTTCTATTTTGAAGTGCCCCGTTAGAGTGATTTGTGCATGTAAGGTTTGGATTCTAGGGGTCAAAGGTCTAGCCACGGTCCTGCCACCACATGCACCGAGCGCCACACCAGGCTCAGCCTCTAGAGGGAATATAGGCTGTTTCTCACCATAGCAGACGCGGAGTCCTCAGCAACACATGCAGTCAAAAGACAGAGAGCAGAGAAGAGATCAGGCTGTTGACTGAGTTTGTTAATGCGGCAAATATAAGTGAGACATCCCCAGAGAAACTCTGTGCATGTGTGTGAAAGTTACAATGAAGGCCTGAGCTGCTGGAATGCGTTAGTGAATCTATCTGGTAATTTCTAAACTGATAAGCAGTTATAACATGACAGCTCTGAAAAAACCCACTCTGTGGTTTAGAATAATTTAAAATCTATGACGAAGGTGCCTTCCAGAGAGGATTTGCCCTTTTTTGTGTGCTAGGTGTGGGGGCACTATAAGTTTAGGGTTACCTTAAATCAAGCTCTGGGGGGCCCTTAGGCAGTGCCAACTGCTTATCCACGGCATAGATGGGTTTCCCTGAGTTAGTGTAACCCTTTGAGTCCCAGTTTATTGGGGGGAAGGGTCTACAATCTGTTGAATGAGCTCTGGGCTTTGATATTTGGGCCCTGGCCCCATGAAGCTGTCAATAGAAATTCAGATTTATTGGCATAGGCGAATGCCCTAAGGGCAAAAGTAGTTTGTGAGCTGGCTCAGTTCTCTGAGTTCTCTTTCCTTTTGTTTAGCACTATTTCATTGGATCTTTGATGCCTTTATGATATTTTTATAAATGTATTTTATCCAGAATTTTTAGCTGTTAGTGGGAGGATTGATTTGAATAATTTAGTCTGTTATTCCCATAAATTGGTATTACGTGAGTATCCTACTGCTTTGTAGTAGTGGTTCAGTTTTGTGAAAATAGGTTGAAATTTTTTATACAACGTCTGGTCCATGTTTCAGGGGTCAATATGCTATTCACAGACCTTAGGTCCATTTTGGTAGGTAACAGTAGCTGCAAAAGAATTTCAAATTCCATAAGGCTTGACTTTATCTGCTCCCCCACATCCCATTAATGATATCCATGTAATTTATCATCCTAACTGGATACTTTTGAGAGTGGGAGGTGACACTATTAATAATAATGCCTGCATAACAAGTGTAAAGTGGGGGAAATTTTACAGGTACACTAGTCTTGTCACTCTACCTACTACCAGATGAAACTGAAGCAAGTTTCAGATCTAATCCTCCCTCATACACAGATATTTATTTATTAGTCAGCAGAAACAAAACAGTTTTAAAAACCTGCTTTGTGAACTTGAAGTTGTCTAGCTCTCTGCCCTAATAGATGCTCTTACCATGATCTTATCTAAAAGGTTTACTCCAGACAGATGCAAACACATAGAGGTAGGAATCTGTTTCCCTTACAGTCTACACCAGGCAACTAGAAACCCAACTCAGCCAGTGACTCAACCCAGTACTTTTTAGGTTCTAAGCTTCAGGCAGCCTCCTTAAAGATCCAACCTTTTAGAGTCCACTAGATTCTTATACTCTGTCTATGGAAGGGGATATGGGTGGAACATCTCTAAAAGATTTTAGCTAATCCACAGATCCTGGATAACTTTAATTTCACCAATGAAAGCCCATTTCAGACAATAGTATGCTAATTATAAGCCTCCATAGTTGATTTAGTTAAGGATAGCTGAGCAGCGTGCATTAACCACCCTGAGGTTATTATTAGGACCACTGACTATGCATACAGTTGAAGCTTTAACTGGCTGATACATACTATGACATTCCCTCTGCAAACATATTTTAAAATAGGTTATAGATATTGTAACAAGGAATACTGAATATATATTGAACGATTTCACCCATAGAAGTAAGTTTCAATATCCTACAGGGATGCCAGCCCTAG